AATATGTTTTCTAGGTAGATTAGAATTAGTCATAATTAAGATCTATAAATAGGGATGATCCCTCATTGTTTTTCAGGTCTTGGATTTGATGAAATAGAAAAGAACGTTTGTTCGAAACCGTGTGTTAGGGTTCGTGAGAATTCCATCATGCAACCGAATTGGTGAGGCTAAGACCCAAGCCAGTTCAACGATTTAGAGAGGCTAAGACCCGATCTATTTCGAGAGTGTAGCGAGGCTAATACCCGAGTGAACTCAAGTATCGTGAGAGAGTTAGGCTAATAACCGAGTCGATCACACTTATCGTCGAGAGCAAGGCCGTGGCGAAGCCGTGATCGAGACAAGTCGAGGGAATGCAACACCCGATCCGTCATCACCGTGGAGGCTCGTGGGTCACCGGCACCGGCGCGTCCGACCTCGGAGATGTTGTGGGGATGAATATATCCAACGGGATGAACGTTTGTATATAGTAGATGGGATCCAAATTAATAACCTTCGAATCTTCTATTGTATGACCTTACACGATCTCCAATAAATCTTAGTGGAATGATTTATTGGATTTCCCAAAGCCTCTCGATCTTCTTTTTCTAAGACCTCTCGGTTTTATTTAAATTTTCTCTCAACGAAGGAATCATATTTTTCTCAATTTTGGTCGTGTGATCAGCCTTTCTCATGAAGAAAAAACGTGTGGCATCATTATCTCATGAGGCTAGGGGACTTGGTGTATTTATAAGCTACAATAGAGACCCCAAGGAGGTGCTAAATATGGTCTTATCCCATTAGATTTAGGAATCCTAAATATTTTCCCTCCTTTTTCATCTAGGATATTATTCCTCATAATCCTTAATTACCTTTTAGAAGACTTCATAGTCTCATAACCCTAGGTATTTTTCTAGAAAGAATATTTCTATCCTTAAGAAATCTAAATTATGGAATATAATTAATTCTTAATTCCTAATTAGAATTAAATAATAAACTATTGCACTAGAGTAATATTATTGCTATCCTTATTTAGCTCTGAACTATCCAATTAATAAATTAATATTAATTTAATTGATCGATTTATCTCCATATGTTTAAGATATAACGTCCTTCGATTAATTAAATTACTAACAAAATAATTAATCAACTTCTTATCAATTTCTGAAACTAGTCCACTCAGATCATTAATCATTATATCGGATACACATCCACCTGCAGGGCTTAACAGAATATCTTTCTGAGCTAATTTTGGGGATGTCATAAACCCAACACACTGGGACATAGTGACTGTAAATAATCTATAACAACACATCATATAAACACCCTCGTTTACCAAAATACCGAGTATGTCATCCTAACAGAATAGGAATCACCCTTGGTAAATCAAATAAACAAGTAATGAATATATATGCTCATTTTCTATTATCTTACAGCTTAAGAATACGTATCAATTATTGCAGGTCTAGATTATAACTTCGATCAGTAAATCTTATAATTTTATCCTTCTGTGGTCCTGTTTAATATTTAACATAAGTACTAATGCAATCCTTCAGTCAAAGACTAACTAAATCAAGACTACACTATAGTCTTTTCCAACAGGAGTCTCATTGCCTGTCTAGACTGTGAACAATTAGTTTATATTTTACAAGGAACCAATAATATAATCTTTCTGTTCGACACGACGAACCATACTATCTAGAATGTAAAATAAAGGAGTTATGATTGCATGAATAATTAAGCTACAAACATATATACTTCGACTAAAACATGATTTACAGATCAAAATGGAATTGTCAATATTTGAAAACCAAGCTTTTACAGCATATCCGAACAAGCTGCATATTAACTAAAAGGAAAATTGATATCAACAGGCATAAAGACTTTGATGAGAAGTCTAGTTAAACATTACCACCAACATTTTCTTCCACCAAACTATATGTGAACTAGTGATTCCTTCGATTTTTCTCCAAAACCATGACAGACGAGGAGTTGGTACTTAGAGTTGTCACAAACTCATCGATGTTTTCATCTGAACTTCCACCTTCATCCATAGCTTCCCGAACCAATTCCTTCCACTTAATAGCATTTTTCTTTATTTCCTCCTTTCTATCCCCTTCCAATACTTCCCTTATGCTACTAGCATTTGTCTCTCGACCAACAAGCCCATTATCATCACTTATGGCCCTAACGCCCATTTTCCACACGTCCATCACGAATTTAGAGTTCGTGCTCTGGTCAGTCCATTGTGGCATTGCCACCATCGGGACACCCAAACTTAGCGCCTCTAATGTCGAATTCCACCCACAGTGTGTCAGAAAATAACATATGGCCGCGTGGGATAGAACATCTAGTTGGGAGCACCATGACACGATTAGTCCTTTCCCGGACGTGTCTTGCGTGATTTCTTGTGGTAGTTTCGTTTGCTCGGAAGATCTAACAACCCACAAGAAGTGCTTGTTGCTCAATTTCAGACCCCAGGCTAGTTCTTGTGTTTGTTTTTCATCGAGCACGGCCATGCTTCCAAAAGACACGTATATGACTGATTCGGGTTGTCTTTTGTTCAACCAGTCCATACAAGCTTCCCTCACGGGCTTGTAGACACTAAGACCGTAGTCTGTGTCATCTAACAGCTTCTTATCCAAGTACATTGACGGTATAATTGGGCCGATTGCCTTTACCGGAGAAAATTTTGCCATGTAATTGATCACCTGAAAAGGCACTAAAATTAGTGATTTCGAATTCCTTGCTAAAAATAAGTCCGATGCGAAATTTCACTTATTTTAAAGTAAAACACAAAGTAATTAAGAAACAAATTAGTTTTTGAAGTGATAACTTGTTGGTGGCCTTGTTTTTGTTTTTATTAAAGTTTTTTTTATCAGTGGCACATTTAATAAAACATATAATATTTTTTGATAGTTGAGTATTTGTGAATTTGAAATCAGGTGGGTTAATTGGAATCATTGTTAATGTTTGTTAGTTATCATATGTTGTACATAAAAACAATTAATATATAAGGGGAAAAAATACAAAAAAAAGAAATAGATTCGCAATTTAAATTAAAAATGTTTTTTTTTTTTCTAAACCTATCGGGTAAACAAATTCACAAATTATTAATATATTGATATTTTTTAATATGGGTAAAGGGCTTAGGGTTTGATTGTATACCAATTAATTTACTCACTTTTCAACTCAAAATCTAACTCAACTTTAACTCAACCCCACTATCTTTAATATTATTCATATAATTAAATAATAAAAACCAATCATTCTTATACATCACATCAACTTTAATTCACTATTCATCAACTCACATAATTTTAACTACCTCTCATTTCCAATCATTTATCTCTTACTTTTACATCAAATCAATTTTAATCATTTTATTTTAAATATTATTTTAAAACATTCTTAAATTTCCACTAACAACTAACCATAGTTAACCAAAATAATTCACTTTGAACAAATTATTTCATAAACAATCAAACCCTAAGGCCTAAGGGCGCGTTTGTCTACCAGGTATAATTTATTTATTTATTTTTTTTTTTCGAAATGACAGATTTTATATCTCAAAAATGATTGTAAAACGTTCGAGGCCACATAGCCCAATACAGCCCAAAAGGGAATAAGAAGACTAGAAATAGTCTTAAATAAAGGAGTTTAGAGCAAACTCTCGGCTAAGGCAAAGCTAAGGATCCGAGAGCAGACATCTAACCCACGGCAACTATAAGCCTTCAAAATTAACTTACCACTGTACCCCCAGGGACCTAGTAAGTTAACAAAACCTACTCAAAAGAAGCCTAAACTAACAACAGAAAAGCACTAAGAACAGACAAAAAGCACTACAAGTTTGCAGAGAATATCTGCCAATTCTCCAGGGCCAGCTTCACTGTATCTCTTTCCGATGACTGACCATTTTTTTAAAAAAATTGTGAACTCAAAATTTAATTCAAATTTAAATCATTTCAACACTCTTATTATTATTAATATAATTAAATAATATCATTCAATCATTCTCACACGCCACATCAACTTTTAATTCTCTATTCATCAACTTATATAATTTTAACTACATATAATCTCTATGATACTTTAATATCACATCAACTATTATCTTTACATTTTAAATACCATTTAAATGCAAAATAAAAATTTCACTCAATCCCTCGCCCAATTAACTATATCCAAAATTAACTCATTTTAACCAATAAATTCAATTAAAATTCAATTTTATTTATATTTCATAGTGTCATTTACATTTATTGTAGAAGAAAAGAAGTTAATATGGTTTACTATAATAATTCTTTTTTTTTTAAAAAAAAAGTTGAATATTTAATTGGATATTTGTTATTTTGGCGAGCCAATAAAAAAATTAATTCCACTTGTCTATTATGGTTGGCAAGTCCATAAATAATAGAGAAAAAATAATAAAAAGAAAATTCGAATCTATTAGACCTTATTTTAAAATTGGGCCCTCTTCTCTTTTTAGTTGAGTCCTGGGCCTATTCCCAAGTCGCGCAGCTGGGCCTATTAATGAATGATGTTTCATAATTTTGTGATAGGGCATTACTATTTACCGCCCCCCTTATTACTAGTCACCGCTCCCCTTGGACGATTTTGCCCTTTCATTTTTTGTGTCCGCAAGATGTCAACCAACTCGGAGGTAAAAAAAAAAACGTCCGCCCACCAAAACCGCCCGGCATCGGTGGTGTCCGGCCGACCGGACCGGACGTCTTAACACGCGTCCGGCCGACCGAACCGGACGTCTTAACACGCGTCCGGCCGGTTCGAACGGACACACCCCCGGCCGTGCGGTTTTGCTGGCCGTACGTACTGGTGGTTGTACTAATGGACCGGTCGTACGGCCCACTTGGTGTCCGGCCGCGACGGCCGGTTGTAACCCGGTCTGACCGGTCCAACCGGCCGGACATCCTTTTTTTATTATTTTTTTATTTTTTTTATTATTAATTTTAAATGCTTTAAAATTATTAAATACATTGCAGGTGTCTTTAGAAGATTTTGGAGGAGATGGTGTTGATTATCGTTCCGCTTTCAATACAACTACGTTGTTTATTAGTGATGTGGAGGCTATTAAGGATGCAAAAAGTACGGCAATTATGAATGGTTTCTTTTTGACTATTTCGAAACACAAAAAACCCAGAAGGCTGAAGATCTTGAAGTGCGATCGAGGCGAACGTTATAGAGGCAAAAACGTAGATATGAATAAAGCTGTTTCGAGACATTAAAAAACGAAAGCGTGCCAGTGCCCTTTTGAGATACAAGTAAAGCGTGTTGCCAGATCGACATACTGGATGATCCACACGAGTCAAGACAAAACGAAGGGATACCATAATCATTCATTTGCCGTGTATCCTGAGGGCCATCGACAGTCGAGCCGCATAAGCGTGTCATCCAAAAAAATTATTCGTGAAATGACTGCTGCGCATGTGACACCAGCAAATATTTTGGCCGCCGTCCATGAAAAAAATCCACACGACCATGCTAATCGGCGACATGTATATAACTATAGAGACTGGTTGCGTAAGGAAAGTTTTGAGGGTAGGGACGTTCCTACCAAACTTCTACATTTGGCAAACAGCAGCAACTACATAGTTTATACAAATGTCGATCCGAATACAAATGCGCTGACACACATATTCATGGCCCATCCTGATTCAGTGAGTTTATTCCGGACTTATTATTGGTTTGTCGGCATAGATTCGACGTACAAAACCAACAGGTATTTTAAATTTATAGATATGTTATTAGTATTAATTTAAATTTGTATTTTGGATGAGATTTAATGTGATTATGATTTATTTCTTTTGGTCTCATTTTTACAGGTACAAGATGTCGTTGGTCGAGATGATTGGCATGACGCCGTGCAACAATAACTTTCTAATTGTGTATGCCCTCATGAAGGACGAGAAAGAGGCCAGTTATGATTGGGTTCTCGACAAGTTGAGACTTCTCATAGGCTATACGGTAAGAATTTATATGAAGTACATGATTAATTTAATTAGTATATAAACGTACTTTGTGCAATATGGTAAAAAAATTTGAGGTTTTTTTTGCGTGTCTCACTAATTTTCGACGCTGCTCAGGTGCATCCTAATGCGGTTGTCAGTGACAGAGAGTTGGCTTATTGACTCCTATTAGGAGGCATTTTCCCCAATCTGCCCACTTACTCTGCACGTGTCACATCAACAAGGATGTGGAAAACAAAGTGTACAACTTGTTTGGGAAAGATAAAAATTTATCTGAGAGGTTCTTGCGCGGTCGGTGGAAGTCGATTATGGATGCCAGTACGTCGAATGAGTACGACGCTGTCGTAGCTCAATTGAATGCAAAATACGGGAATGATTCAAAAGTGGTACAATATCTCGAGCAGACGTGGCAAGGCCACAAGGAGAAGTTTGTGAAAGCCTGGACGAACCAAGTAACACATTTTGGCAACACAACTACGTGTAGGGTGAAAAGTGCCCATTCTGTGTTGAAGCAGTGGCTTCGCACGTCGACTGGCGCGCTTGATACAGTGTTGCATAAGATTGATAAGGAGATCGAGTCTCAATTGACTGAAATCAGGTACATTCCTCAAATATATTATAGATAAGTATAATATATTATATTATATAAGTATATTATATTATAATTTGTTTTGTAATGTATTAACAGGACAACACTTGAGTCTTCGAGACTTAGGAAGAGTACGGCATATACGGGTTTGACTTTCGCGTGCTTGACATTGAGAGTCTCGCATTATTGTATGAATTTATTGAACGATGAGCTAACAAGGATGCGAGACTTGAGCCATGAAGTTTACTTGCGCTGCGGCTATGTATTGCCTACCACACATGGAATTCCTTGTGCATGTACGCTTCGTACAGCACATGATTCTAAAATGGCGATTGGTATTGACATGATCCACGAGTTCTGGAAGACACTAGAGATGTTAGAACCAGGTAATTTGTGGTTAATGTTTATTTATAATTTTCTACTTTGTGATTCATTTTAAATTACACATTAAAGTATATTACTTTGAAAAAAAAAACAAGGTGCAGGCAGGTCACACGACCCGTGTGCCTAGTGACACGGGTCGTGTGACCCTCACACGACTCGTGTCACATGGTCACACGAGTCGTGTGCCTACTGAGGAGAATGAATAAAAAGCCACGGGGTTTTCACACGACTCGTGTGCCCAGTGACACGGGTCATGTGACACTCACACGACTCGTGTCATCCGGTCACACGAGTCGTGTGCCTACTCAAGAGAAATGATAAAAAGCCACGGGGTTTTCACACGACTCGTGTGCCTTGTGACACG